CAATCTTGGTAGGAGTGGATTCCAATTGGACTGGAGGTTTACTGGCCCCCATAGGGCAAATACATGTTCTGCACACTGTTGTGTGCATATGTGTGAAAAAATAAGTTTTGAGCTTTTGGTCTTGCGATAAATCTTTGAAAGTACTACACTATATTTATTCTGTTTATTTTGCCCAATATATATTGTAGATGTGGAAAATCACAGAAGGACATACTTTTATAACTGTATAGATGGTAATAGCTTATATTATTTTGGGTCAATCATTGCAATTGATCAATATTATAATTGTTTCTTGTGTTGCATACAAAGGGTTTTAAGTAAGTTTTGTACCTCTCTTATTATTTGTTTTTTAAATATCATCACCTATTCTAAGGAACCAAGCCAAATACAGCAAATATGATTAATCTTTTAAAAACTATCACTATCATAAAGAACCAGGCTTGATCTTGTAATTAGTTTCAGAAAATATTTGAGTGCCTGATTTGACTATTTGTGGCTGAAACATTAGCACGATTTGGCTTGTCTAAACAATTTCTAACAGTGCTGTGTGTATATTCTAGCACACTCCCAAGAGTGTGCCATGTGCACACTCACTTGGGACAACAAATGGTACACAACTGGAATGCCCATTATGCTATTGTCTTTCACTCTGTTTCTGGAACCACTAGCTCAAAACGTAAGAGCAGAAATAGAAATTAAGAGGATTCTTTTTTTAATCCAAACAATATTTCTTTACTTGTTTACATATTTTAAAGTCAGAGAAAACCACCTCCTTCTTTGCAATCATCCACATCCATAAATAGAATATCATTATATAATTTGAACATTACAAAAATCAAAATTTCCCCCTTTAATGTTCAACTTCACTACGTGTCCTTTTTAGGATCCTGCTCTAATTTTAATTTGAGATAAAACAACTTAGGAAACAAACTAATGGTATTTCCAAACTTACTGCTAAAACTCAGTTATAGTGTTCTTTAGAAATCAATACAAATTGACTTCTGAAAATGGGAAAAACTATATATATACCTAATTTCAAAGTTCAAAAGCTGTAAAAATGATAATCTTTCGTAAACTACTGTACTTATTTTTCACCACACCTATTTCAGTCTTCACTTTTTCACACTATACAAACATATATAAAATTAGCATATATAGTTAGAAAAGTGAAGAATCCATTTCACAGTCTCACTGCTACAAACTACAAAACATTTATTTTAGGGCTCCCAAACATTACATCATAAAGCAGCACTTCTAGTTCGGTCAATTGTAGTTCAGTAGAAATGGGAAGTAATACAATTTGTAGAGAGAAGGAGTGATTGTTGCAACCCCTTTATATTTTCATTCTTTTTTTTTTTGACACTCCCAAAAATTTGGGAGCACACAGATTTTCCTTCAGGTGTGGGGTGTTATTTTTAAGGAACATGGTAGTTATGATAAAATGCCTATGAATTGATTTGTATTGGGTATCTTCCTTATACTTCCCTTTCTTCTTTTTCTTCTTTGCCCTTTATTCCTCTTTGTTCTTCTAAATGATTAATTTTTCAGTAATTAATCTATTTAGTGAATTATTCAAACTGCATTGTGGTGTGTGGATGTTATTCTTTTATTGTTTTCTTTTCTCATATGCTGTCAAACTTTAGAATTCCACCGAAAAGAGCTACATTTGAAACATTTTTTTTTTATGCATAAGTAATATAATCTGATACACGTTTACATAGCATTAATACAAAATGGCAACCTAACATATAAACCCACAACCTACCATTATATAAGGCCCGGGAAAGAAAAAAAAGAGGAGGAGAGGAAGGGAGTATTTGCCTCCTGTAATTATTAAAATTAAGATTATTAGTACACTAAAGCTAGCATAATCTTAAAATTTATAACACGACAGGAGGCTTCATATTTTGCAATTTTAACGCAGTGCAATAAGATAAAATGTGGCTTTTGACGGGTGACAAAAATAAAAGGTCCGAAATGTGGATTCGCCTGACCAGTTCGCTGCCTGTATTATGTTGGAAAGTGGTGCACCCGCTGTAAAAGCTGATGATGCTGCCGCCCCAGAATGGAGTGTGCACCAAACAAGTCTATCCCAACGTCAACGTAAGAAACTATCTAATCCATCTGGACAATGTGGTGACTGAAACCCGGGCTGTGAGGATTGACATAGGAAATCAACAGTTGCGGGGATGATGGTGACCATAATGTCATTGTCACCACTTATGACAAACGCTCTTTCCCTCATACATTTTCCACAAACACCTGGAGGAGTGTAGAAGCTGGCAATCTGCCCACCGACTATGGTGCAGGTCTGGGACACCGTTTGGGAGTTACCCTGCCCACCCATTAGTATCTTTCCCTGGGTGCCCCTGGTTCGGCACTTTCCCTTCATGTGAATAGGACCGAACGCTAGCTCTCTGGCGGCTGTTTGCATAAACCAAACCCGCAAATCGTCCCAGCGGTACCTAGCCACAATTGTTATGGAACTTTTTTGGCATGAGGTGACCGTGCGGTTCCTGGACAACTAGGTTTGCGTTTTTGAACCACTTTGAAATCTGCCAGGAGAGCGCTTTTTGGAGAGAAGGTGCATGAGACTAAGGGGAACAAACACTACCTAAGAGCCAGGCAGAACACACCGTATTGCAGCCACAGGAGCTACTGAAAGTTGACCAGCAAAAGCACCAAACACCCTGGAGCTATTTTGGGCACTGGACCACGTGTGTGGCCGGTCAGAATCTTAACACAGTTTCCCCTACACTGCATGGATCTAAACGCTAACTTGGGCACTCAGATCAGGGCTATTTAAAGATGTATTATTTGTGGGGTTATTTTATGTTTTTATTATGTTTTGAGGTACTTTTATATTTTTGTGTTTGGTTCTCTGTTCCCTGGAGATATTTAGCTTACCAGTCTTTAACGCAATTATCTCCCAGGCCCAGAGATTCCTGGGAGGGGCTTTTGCTGAATACAATGGAGACCCCCTGCTGGGGTCTATGCATAAAAGGCCAAGTTTGTCCCATTAAAATTAATTGTACTCCCAGAACTATGTCTAGTTACTAGGAGGAGAAGGGGTATAATCACTGCCAGGCAACTTGTTCCAGCTCGTGGAGGATTCGGCGTGGAAATCCTTGTAAGGATTAGAGCTCCCAGGACTGTGTGTCATCCAGTCCCTGGGAGGGAATAGAGCTAGTTCCCAATTCTGTTCCAGGACGGAGAGGCTCCAGGAGGACCCCAGTCAAGCCACGGCAACTGGGGCAGAAGCGCTGAGGTTTTCTCTTGTTGCAGCTAGGAAGCAGTCCTTGGTGGAGGTACTCAGCAGGGAGTTCTGCTACACATTAGCCTTAGGGTCAAAAACAAAAAATTGATGGAGGACCAACTACGACTCCAATTTGGACCAAAGAGAAATACGCAATGTGACTCCTTCCAGAGTGACAGAAAACGACTTGTCGGATCGATACAAGGTACAGGAGAAACTTGGCAGTCAATTGACGTCAATTGTTCGTTAGGTGGCCAGTCTCACAAAAAACGGAGTACTACTTCCCCTTTCCATAGGTGTTTATATTTGGGAGCTGGAAGATGTCAGAGTTTGTTAGCTCGGAGTAATCTGCAGACAAGGGGGGACCTGTCCGACCACCTTCCTTTGAAGAGGTACATGGACTGCAGAGAAAGCGGACCGAACTCCGTTAATGGTACGGTACGACTTACCTTCCTTGAAGAGGGATGATGCTTGCGGAAATAGGTGCCATAAAGGGATCAATGTCCCATCCCACACACACATGGGTCCAATATCGCCATGCTGATAGGTAACTTTTAGCTGATGATGATAACTCATTGGCACTCCATGAACCCCTGAAAGAGTACAGGCCACTAAGGATATGTATCCATCCAGGAACATTGGAAGGATCCTACTGGATCCTTGAGCAGCGTGGGAACATCTGTAAGGAGAAGTGAATCCTTGCAGGACATGTCGAGGAGATCTGGGAGTCAGGACTGGCATGGCCATAATGGTATCAGGAGACTCTTAACCTCTTGTCCCCTTATTTGGTGGTGAACTCTCACACTCATTGTGAATGCATAAGCCCCTTGTTTTGACCATTGTTGGAGAAAGGCATCCACAGCTTTGCATTCTGGGAACTAGCTGTAAAATTCCAGTTGGTGGTTGTTGTGTGAAGCAAACAGATCCAGCTGGAATGGACCCCTCTGAGAGTCCAGGGCTGCAAACATCTGAGGGTTTAGTTGCCAGTCTCTGGCGTCTCTCCAGTGATGGGTGAACCAGTCCGCTGTAAGATTCGACGCCCTTGGTAAATGTTCTGCATGATCATAATGTTGAATGAAAGGTAGTAGTAGTAAGGAAAATTTCCTTAGTCAATTCCATTAGCACACGCTCCCATATATCTATTTTTTATTTTAATTGGGATAGCCCCCAAAATATTGGGACATACAAAAAAAGAAAGATTTGCGGCCTGCAGTGCATTTCTTGCAGTCCTGATGCATGGAGAAATGCTTAACTCCTGATGCATGGAGAAAAGGCCTTCATAAGCCTCTGCTATTGTGTATATAGTTTATACTAAGTGACCTATAGGTTGAGGAGGCTGTGACCGTGGCTGTGTAGGTGGAAGCGGCAGTGGAGGAGGAGGAGTAAGCCAACGCTGTTTATATATATCTATTTTTTATATTAATTGGGGTAGACCCCAAAATACTGAGACATACAAAAAAAGAAAACTGTTCTGCAGAGCGACTGACTCATGCGTGCTGCATCTGAAACTCCACTATTGCCTGCTGTTGCTCGCACAGTCTCATGAGGCGGTGAGTGGGAAGGCCGAAGTTATGCTGCAGCGCAGACAGTCAAGCAGCAGCAGGATGAGAACGCCAAAAGCGCGCACAGACGGCCCGCACTTTCTGCAGCAGCTCTGGTATATCTGGGTATACACCGTGGCATCACAAGGGCCACCCAGAACTGGCTCAACTCCCATCAAGCCAAGTTCCCGGAGGAGATCACCGAGATCGTCATGCTAGAGCACTTTTTCAATGTGCTCCCCAACGAGAAGGCGACGATGCATCCGTATGTCAATCCATACCAACTTTCGATGCCATTGACTCCACCTGCCATGGTGACCACGGGTAACAGGGAATCAGGGTTTGATTCCGTACAGGGACCCTGACATATGGCTACTACATGCAAGGAAGGCAGCAGGCGCGCAAATGACCCACTCCCGACGCGGGAAGGTAGTGACAACAAATAACAATACAGTTAATTGTAATGAATCCACTTGAAATCCTTTTATTCTGATCAATTGGAGGGAAGTCTGGTGCAGAGCCCCTGAACCATGTGTGCTGCAGCTGAAACTCCACTATCGCCTCCTGCTGCTCAAACAGTCTCTCCAGCATGTGCAAGGTGGAGTTCCACCTTGTGGGCACGTTGCATATGAGGCAGTGAGTGGGAAGGCCAAAGTTGCGCAGCAGCGCAGACAGGCGAGCAGCAGCAGGGTGAGAACGCCGAAAGCACGCACAGCCACTACAGTGAATGTCACATCCTGTTCTAAGTTGCGGATCAGTCTGGTGATGGCTTCTGTATCCAGTACTCTTTTTACTGAAGCTGCATCAGGGTCCTGGTATGTGGCCGCACAAATGCTGGTGCTCAACACCAGGGGGCATGCGGTTACCCTGCACTAGACCCTGCTTATTCATTCCACACTGTGACTCCTAACTTCTACTTCAGGCATACTGGGTCCTGGTCATCCCAACCGCTGCCCAGACAGTGTCTGGGTCTCAGTCACCGGACTGCGAAACTGTGAATGGCTCGTTAAATCTGTTATGGTTCTTTTTATCGCTTCAACTGTTACTTGGATAACTGTGGGAATTCTAAAGATAATACATGCCGACGAGCGCTAGGGGTCAGCCGCTCCGCTTTTGCACCCTGCTCCCTCTTATGCTGTGATGGTGCCTCTGTGCGACCAGCGCCTCTTCCTCTGCATGACCTTGATTCCATGTGGGGTCTAGGACCTCATCATCCTCCACATCATCTTCCACCCACTCCTCAACCCTGCCCTCCTTGCCAGTATGCACACTGCAGAAATCCACAGCAGTTGGCACCTGTGTTTTTCCAGCATGTGAAATCTGCAAAGGACATATGGAAATTGTTTTAGAATTGTATCCAGGCAACAGTTTTCCCTATAAACCTCAGTTTGACTTGTGAGGATATTGCCCAAGAATTACATTATTGTTTAAGTATCTCTTAGCTATTGATAACTATTTTAAATATAGCAGCTTGTTATCTGGTAGTTTCTAGTATAGAAAATATCAATCTGTTTTCTATCACTTAGATCTGTGTAACAAGTGTAGTAGGTGTGAAACAATATTACAAGTGACAGATGTAGTAAATTCGAATCAAAGTTACACTTCTATTTGACTCTATTTAGCAGATTAGCACCCAGAAAATAAGAATGTTTACAAGTGAGCTGTAAGCACACTATTAGACACTTCTATTTGACTATTAGATATGAAGAGCATGCCCAAAATGTACTATTTAGCAGATTAGCACCCAGAAAATTAGAATTTTTACAAGTGCGCTATAAGCGCACTATTAGATGCTTCGATTTGACTCTCAGATATGAAGACCAGGCCCCAAAATGTACTATTTAGCAGATTAGCAGCAAAACAATTAGAATGTTTACAACTGCGCTGTAAGCGCACTAATAGACGCTTCGATTTGACTCTCAGATATGAAGATCAGGCCCCAAAATGTACTATTTAGCAGATTAGCAGCAAAACAATTAGATTGTTTACAAGTGCTCTGTAAGCGCACTATTAGACACTTCGATTTGACTCTCAGATATGAAGAGCAGGCCCCAAAATGTACTATTTAGCAAATTAGCAGCAAAACAATTAGTATGTTTACAAGTGCGCTGTAAACGCACTATTAGACGCTTCGATTTGACTCTCAGATATGAAGAGCACGCCCAAAATGTACTATTTAGCAGATTAGCACCCAGAAAATAAGAATTTTCACAAGTGTGCTATAAGCGCACTATTAGACGGTTCTATTTGACTCTCTGATATGAAGAGCACGCCCCAAAATGTACTATTTAGCAGTCTAGCACCAAAACAATTAGAATGTTTACAACTGCGCTGTAAGCGCACTATTTGACGCTTCTATTTGACTTTCAGATATGAAGTGCACCCCACTAAAATACTATTTAGCAGTTAAGGACCCAAATAATTGTAAGTTTTAAAACTGCAATGTGACAGCAGTATTTGACGATTCTATTTGACTCTCAGATATGAAGTACACCCCACTAATGTACTATTTAGCACCCAAAAAAATTTACTTTTTAAAACTCAGATGTAACCGCGGTATTTGACACTTCTATTTGACTCTCAGATATGAAGTGCACCCCACTAATGTACTAGTTTGCAGAATTCTTTCCTAAGCTGTCCCTCACAGCGGCAGCATCCTCTCCCTACACTAATAAGACCTCATGTGCGTGCGGCGCTACGCGACTCCAGCTTATATATAGAGGCTGGGTTACATGCTGCACTGACCAATCACAGCCATGCTATTAGTAGGCATGGCTGTGATGGCTTCTAAAGGCACACAAGGCAAAAGCTTGTTGATTGGCTGCCCTGCAGCCTTTGAAAACGCACCATTAAATCACCGAACACCGAACTCCAACCCGAACATACAGTGATAGGTCTGTGTTCGGGTCCGGGGTCCAAAAAACGTAATGTTCAGTACGAACCCGAACTTTACAGTCCGGGTTTGCTCAACTCTAATTATGAATATTATATTAGTCCAATAAAAAGTGTATCATTGTATAGAGTCATACTCTGGTATTTTGTAATTATATATAAATATATATGTTTTAAGGCCGTTTGGCCTGTATTTGTGGGAGGGGCTTAAATTAATTCACTCCCCTATATAAGGGACACCCCTTACCTGACTCATATTGCTAGAGGTCAGCATCAGAATGATTTCCACTTCCGGGTCATCCAGACGCCATTTTACCTGATTACTCCATTAGGTTTTCTAAGCTGAGCTGTGTCAGGAATTCAGCCACAGGCTTTTCCGGCCTTCCACATTCTTTCTTCAATCTATCGCTGTGGATGGTGTCCAAGTGACTCACAAACCGTAAGTCGACCTACCCGTTACACCAGGCATCAGTCCCACGGCACCATGCATGGGTCAGGTCCTCACTTTAAAGCTGCATTTTGTCTAAATCTGTCCTAAAACCATTGCATGTTCATGCATATCATTTGTTTAAATTCACTTGTTTATATCTGTCACTGGCTCATTTTGAGCATTAGCATACTTCCAAACGGGAACACATTCTGTTTCAATTGCCTAAACATACTAGGCAATTCTGTGCGTGCATTTCGAATCTCACTGCTCATTTCATTTTGTTTCCCTGACATACCAGGCTCACGGTTCGTGCAATTTTCTACCAAACGGGAACTAGTTCATGCATTTACTATTGTACTACACACACGTTTCGTGCGTTTACAACCCACAAACAGAACTTTGGTTTGTTACAATGACTGTTATTAAGTTATTATGTTCACTTATTGTATATTGTCAAACGGGCACTGTTTGTTTCCCTGTCATACAACTATAATGCTGGGGAATAGCTCACGAACAATGTTTCACATAAACCACACTGACTCCTACAGGTCACTCGCAAAATCTCACATTAACCTTGCATTTGGATTAACCCCTTAAGGACCAAACTCTGGAATAAAAGGGAATCATGATATGTCACACATGTCATGTATCCTTCAGGAGTTAAAGGGTATTTTACCATACAATCAGCATTTCTGACCCCTACTGGTCAACAGCAAAACTGTCTTCACATGTCATATACAATTACCAGCCAATATAAATTACACATAAGATTGTTTTAAACATAACCATAAACCATAAATTAAACTCCAACACGGGCTCAACTTCAGGTTTAATTCACAATAATTTACATTTCACATCAAGACTAATAGTGGTTCTATCAACACTGCCACCTACAGGTCTGTCAAGTACATTGACAATTTTCATGGGGTTTTACAAACACCAAAACACTGACCCCTATAGGTCAACAAACAACATTTCACATACCAATCAGTATCAACTATACTGCCACCTATAGGGCACTCGGCAGATCTCCAGTTCAACGCCATGTTCACTGACCATTCAATAAGGCATACAACAATTCACATAGCAAGCAGTATATCAACATCTGTTATAAATACACATATTATTACACAGTAGTACACGCATCTGTATATACGTAACTGGTTAATGGGCTAAGATTGATACATATTTAACCAGTATGGATATGATGTTTAATATTTACATATCACGGCACTTTACTTTCACATATACTGTATGTTTTAAGATAAGCTTGGTCTATGCCATATTTCCTTATGCCATACGATTTTATCCATTCAGGTTACAGTTACTACTAAAAAACCTATACGGATTGTCAGGTTCAATACCATACTACCAGGTACGTACACCTGCTCACGTAGTTATCCATCTCTTACCTTCCCTGGAATAGTAATAGTGTACTGGCAATTAGGGTTCTAGGGCCCAATAGGTATTACCCCCTTTTTTCTCTGCATTATGCTTCGGTTAGTGGTCCCGCGAGGCCAACACCCCGCCTCACACTTGGAGGCATACACCCCTCGGGACACTCGTGAGCTAGCCGCCTCGCATTGTATCATAGAGAGGGCCTCACCTGTCACTCCCCTTCCTATTTTTCTGGTTACTGTCACCGAGAGGCCAACATCCTGCCACAACGTTCGGTGGCCACACAAAATCCCCTCGCGCCAAGCATAGATAGAGCCTCTCAAGCCACTTGGCAACTAGCAGGGCCTCACCAGTCACCAAAAAACACCAAGCCTAATCGTTTCGCCTTACGGCTTAGCTAGCAAGCCGGTACAAGACCCCTGGGGACAAATATATAATTGCAATTTTATTGTTATTTAAGTATTTCTGAAAAAGATGGTAAAGAATCACCTCTTCCTAGCACCCCTGGAGTAGTAGTAATGTACTGGCAATTAGGGTTCTATGGCCCAATAGGTATTACCCCCTGTTTTCTCTGCTTTACGCTTTGGTTAGTGGTCCCTCGAGGCCAACACCCCGCCTCACACTCGGAGGCATACACCCCTCGGGCCACTCGTGAGCTAGCCGCCTCGCGTTGTATCATAGAGAGGGCCTCACCTGTCACTCCCCTTCCTATT